GGGATAGAGTATCCAAAACCCGGCCTTCGATATGTAGGGGTCGTTCCGGTGTTGAGGATGGTTAGGCCAATGGGGGCTGCCATTTCAAAGACCAGTCTTCCCCTGGTGTTTGTTTTGGGCATACCCCATTCCACGCCTCCTGCGTTGAAATCTCCAGCAGCAATTATGTGGCCGGTTATATCGCGCAATTCGTCTTGAAGGTCTTCGAGCTTTTCCCTGAAGACAAGGACTGTGTCGTTTGGAGACAGGTAGCAGGTCACTAGAGTGATGTGCGCCATTTTCACCCAGACGTATGTGCGTCCGACCCCGCTGCTCTCTGCGCGATGGTTGGCGTTAGGAATCCATATCGCGGCCGAGCCTGATTGGTCAACATGCCAGGTTTCTTTTGTTCTATAGGGTTCACTGATGATGACAGCGTCTGCTCTTTGTTCAAGAACCAATTGGTCCAGCAGGTCATCAGCTACCCTACTCCTGTTCATATTGCCTTGTATAAATTTAATCATATTCTCCCAAGCTTTGTCTTAGCCTCAGCAAGGGCATCCCTGAAGGCCTTGCACGCTCCCCACACGGGCAGGTGATTGATATTTTTCTGTCCATCTCCTGCGGAGCATAGGTAGCAGCTTGAGCTTTCTTTACATGCAGAGGCTATGTGGCCCTACTGACCACATTTCCAGCATGAACTGCTTCTGTCTGGGCCTTTGCATGCCGCCTTTTTGTGGCCATACCCCAGACAGCGGAAACACCTTTGGACATCCGCGCGCTCTCGGACGCGGCAGATAATCCAACCTACTCGCAGCTTCCCCTTTTCAATAAGAGTCCGGCCTGGCAGTTCGTCCTATTCCACCACAGCCATTCTTTGTTTTCACGAGTTTACAGCGAGGAGAGAGACGCGAAGTTGGCCATTCATCTTGTCTCCTAACTCCCCGCGTATAGCGTTCTCCACTTCTGGGGCCGTGGTTAGGCAGTCCATGCCCAGAACTTCTAGACGTATACGTCAAGTGAGAATACGGGCGTCTCCAAGCTGGCAGTGCACACATTTTCCTTAAATGCTGAGTGGTCGCCACAGCGCTCCATTTCGATGAGCACGCCGCCTTCGCGGGTTTTCAGAACAGATCGAATTACGGTCTCCGTCTTCTCAGGTTGGAGCTTACCACGTATCGTTCCCAGCACCTCTCCATAGGTTTTGCCTTCAGCTGGCTTAATGATTAGTTTGGCGAGACTCTCCTTTTTTCTCACCCTCTTTTTTTTTTGCGGCTTGTCGCCTCGCCCTTATTGGCCAAGGGTTCATCTGGCGCTGGCCTTGGCTTGGGCTTTCTGCTTTTTCCAACCGTTTTCCATTGACAAGCTGGTACGGTTTTCTGTGCATTATTATTATTATTGCCATTATTGTTATTAGGATCATTAATAATAATACTATTATTATTGTTATTATTAGTAGTATTTTGTTTTTCCGGCTCGCCTGTTGGGGAGTCGGAACGAGTCCGAGCTCTCTTTTGCGAGCCAGGGCCAGTTTTCTGCAGCTCGGAAAGGGTAGACCCCTTTCGGCGCGGCTCTCGGGGGTAGCTTAGTATATTTAGGCTCTCCTCGACTTGGGCCATACCCGTTTTTATGTCCATGGACACATTTTTCTGCTTGGAGACAGCACTCTGCATCTTCTTCAAGACGAGCCGAATCTGGGCCAATTGCTCATCTTCATTGCCTTCGCACGTTCCCAAGCTTGCGGTGGCATGCTTGTCCTTGTTTACAGCATCTGGGGTTTGATGACCACCATCCCGGTTGCCGGGAGTTGTCGTTTTCAAAGGTGTACCCTTCTGCACCACGTCGACGGCTTTTTCCGTGCTCGTGGTGCCGTGGTGTCACCCTCACATACGAAAGTGGCGGAATACTGCTCTCGCCGGCCCAATAACGAACTAATCGTATACATGCTCCAGTATGCCATGAACAGGATCTAACTGGTCTCAATCCTCTGTTCGCATCTGTTCGCCCGGACACAGGAGATTCATCAAGCATTTCTGATCTTTTAAATCAGGCCCTCGTCTCCTGCCGCTCTTGGTCTGGGACTGCTTATTGGTTATTCGCAGCTAACCTACCGGAGTAGGCCGTTCACGATCCGCCCTGTGTGACCCCGGTAAGGTCCTGAGCTTAGCCCTTACCATTATT